TGTCCATCCAACATGGTCTGTTTGGTCCTGTGTCCATCCAACATGATTGGTTTGGTTCTGTGTCTGTCCAGTGGGGTCTCTTTGGCCCCGTGTCCATCCACCAGGGTCTCTTTGGCCCCGTGTCCATCCACCAGGGTCTCTTTGGTCCCGTGTCCATCCAGCACAGTCCTGCTGGTTGTGTGTCCATCCAGCAGGCCCTCCATGGTTGTGTGTCCGTCCATCGTGACCCACGTGGTCGCTGTCCCTCTGTCCCTCGAGGGTGGCTGCATGGCAGCCCCTGCAGGGCTGGGGTGGGTGCTGGCTCTCGGCAGCAGGAGCGGCCTCCCCGTTCGTTCCCTCTGCTCCTCCTCCCCTGGGCCCCGCCGGCGTCTGGCCAGGCCTGAGTCTGAGAAACCATCCTGGCTTTTCCTGCCCCTCTCAGCGCTGGCTGGGACGGCGGGAGCTCCCAGAGAGGACGTGTGGAACCTCCATCTCCAGGTTTGTTCCCGTTTTCTGGAGCTCGTTGCGTGGGTAAGGCGGGCATTGCTGTGCAGCTGTAGTGAGCAGAGGCTGCGAGTGCAGCCGGGGATGGGGAGGCACTTCCAGCACCAGGAGGGAGCTGGCTGCTGGAGCCAGAAGAAAGTGATGTTTTTTTCTAGGTCAGGGTTGAAGGCACTGTCAGGGTGGTGATGTGCAGCATATCTTACTGTCTGCATTGTCCCTGCCATATGGATGTGTGCACGCTGCCCTTGGCATTCAGGCATTGAATTATTTATCCTCTCCAAATCTGGAGGCAGCCTTTCTTCCCCTGTCTCCAAGAAAACCAAACTTACCCGATGAGTGTTTTTAAAATAAACCTTCCTCTGTGAATTACTGCAGTGGCAGGAGCAGGGTATTGATCGTATGTTGCGTTTGGAGTCGGAAACCAAAGGTTACAACACTGGATATCTTGTGGAAACACTGAAATATTTATTTTGCTGTTAGGTGCAAGTGTGTATGTGCTGGGTTTGTATGTGGCTGAAATGCCATGTACTGAAATTTCCTGACTGGGAGAATGGAGAGGCCAGAAAACTTTGCAGAATGTGTAAAAGCAGCTTTGTCTCAGCTGTGTGCGAGGGGATGGATGTTTTTCCAGGGAGAAGGCATCTTCCTTGCTCTTGTGCTGTGTTGGATTTGCTGTGAGAGGAGCGTTAAGGTGGTCCTGGTTTGGGTGTCACGGAAGGGTGGTTCAGGCTCGGGGAAGCACAGGCTGGAGGCAGCTGCCTCTGTAATTATTTCTGAGAGACTGACAGCTCTGCAGGTTAGAAACAGTCTCGAATAATTTACCTTTAGAGCAGCATAAAGCTGCTAAAACTGTGTCACAGGCATGGGGAAGAATCAGAGAGTCAAGAAGGGAGATGCTACCCTCTAAAAAATTCACCAGGATCCGGAGGCAGCGTGTCCCTGAGGGCTTGGCAGCCAGAGGCTTGGAAACACGGTGCTGCCCTCAATATCGGGATGTGAAATGAAAGGATGCGTAATTAGGAACTCCAGAAAAAAAAAAAAAAAAGGCATTAAATAGCTTTAGAGGTGAATGGAAGCTTCATTATTAAGCAGCAAGTGCTTAGCTGCAGTTGGTGGTGCCTCTTCCTTTCAAATCACGCACACATGAAAGTGCTCCCCGCCCCCAGCGGGGCCTTATCGGCTTATCTGGGCAGGAGTTCAGAGCCATAAAAACTGTATCCTGCTTACACCTTCCAGCCGGTCCTGTGACCTGCGCTGTGTAAACAAGTTGTACCAGGAGCTCCCCATGACTGGTAAGTGCCTGGGTTTCTGCAGCCTGGCTGGGTCCAGGAGGAGCCAAGATAAAGTTCCAAGAAGTTCCCCTTCGGGAATGGTCTCCTGATAGCTGCTGCGGGGAGGAGGCGGCAGGGCTGGGATCCTGCTGACTGTGGCAGTGACTGTAGCCCATGGAAAGCACTTTGGGATAGACTTTACACTCCGGGGCTGGTGTTTTCCACGTTCTGCAGGAGGGTGGCTGTGGCAGATTGTGAAATGTCAGCGTTGTGGTAACAACACCGACCGGCGCTCCGCGGTTGCGTCAGGCCCGGGATGTGCTGGAGCTGTAAGCCTGTCTATAAATATATCCATATATCTTGGGATGGATGAGATTAGCCGTGGCCGTGCTGGGAAGAGATGTAGGTAATGCAGGGAAGGGGTGTGTGTGGGGGGACACAAACATGCTGCTCCTGCTCTGCTGGGGGGTTTGGGTGCCACCGGGCACTCCGGTTACGGCGCTTGGCCGCTGCCCACCCCGGGCTGGCTCCGTGGTTTCAGCCTGCAGCTCGGCACAGGCAGATCCGTTTATCCAAGCTGGGCTGTAACGAGACAGTTTGGGGATGTAGTGTGTGAAACTTCACCTTCTCAGCAGCCCAAGGGTCAGGTGCACAGGTTTGAAGATGAAAACCTGTTCTCCTTGAATGTTGACCTTTTTTGTTGGTGTGGTTTCTCGTCCCCACGTATGGGGAATGTGCTGGGGTTGGCAATTGGGCTGGCTGCTCTGGCTTCCCTCCATGCCATGGCCTGTCCTGGCTTGTGCTGGGGTCCTGCCTGGTGGCTCCCCTGGCTCTAGGCTCTCTGTTCCTCATTTTCCCTGCAGCCTGGAAGGTTCCTGGCTCTCCCAGGAGATCAGAGGTGCCCTGTGTTACTCAGCTGCTCTGCAGTGAATTCAGCTCCCTTCCCCTGTGATCAGCACTGGCACTGGGGTGTTAAACTGGTTCTGTGGTGAGAGACGGATTCCTGAGTTAGTCCAGGGGGGAAGGGATCAGACAAGCAGTCAACGTTGTGGCTCTTTGCTGGTGTGCTGAGTAGAGCTCCTTGGTTAGGGAGCTGGAGGCTGTAGTCTTAAAATGCCGAATTTAATTGCCTCCTGCAGTGTGTTCTTGTCTGCAAGCCTCCCCTGCTTCACCCACCAGCATGTTTCTTCTCCCTCGTGTCCGTCCTTCCCCTTTCCCAGGAGCCTCATCTGATGGAGGTTCTGCTCTTGCCTTGGTCCCCCTCATCCAAGATTCCTGTCTCTAATTTTAGCCTGTCTGCCTTTTGAGGTCCCCTTCTGTCTGTTGCTGCCTTTCTCCTTCTCTGTGAGTTGTTGTGCATCCTGCTCTCCCTCTGGAGAGCTGGACCTTGTTTGTGCACGGTGGGAGGGAGTGAGGCTGTGGGTGTGCTGAGGTGAAGGCTCTGGGCTGTGGGGAGTGCAGGCAGGGATGTTTGGGCTGCTGTGTGCTCACAGGAGCAGCTCCCTCACTGTCCTTGCTCGGACCTGCTCTTGTAGTCTCTCTTTTGTGGATTTATTCTGTATTTGTGCAGTGGGGCTCTCTACCATGAGGTGACTCGTAGCTGCAGTGCTGCCCAGCAGTCCTGAATCTCCTGGTTCCCTGCAGGCTGCCTGCTTTTCCTGGAATCTCACTCCACCTTAGCAGGCATTTGCTTGTGGTTACAGAGAAAATGACTTTTGTAACAGGGAGGTATCAGACACAGTCAAATCTCCTCGGAGGGAGGTGGAGCCCATCAGGGAGAGCAGGGAACCTGGCCCTGGAGCCTGGCCATGCAGCAGGGCTGCTCATCCTGGTGGGATCCACCTGCTTGGAGCCCTGGGAGCACGGTGTGTGCAGCATAATCTGATTTGTGCCTGGAATATAAATCCTGCCTGTTGTAGGCATGCAGCCTGGGGCTTTACAAGTTCTTTTGTGAAAACAGCATTCAGCCCCTCCACTGCTGCAGCAAGGAGCTTCCCTGGAAACCCAATCCCAGCAATTAGTGAGGTTTGCAGAGGATCCTAGCAACTGCTGCTGGGGTTCCATTGGCAGGGGTGAGGTTTTGTTTTTTACACTGTTTATACTTGCATTCTGTGCATTGTATGGAGATATATTCAACTAAAGCACAGGGAGTTCCACCTCAGCGTGGGGGAGAACGTTCCTTGGAGGGTGGCACAGCCCTGGCACAGCTGCCCAGGGAGGGTGTGGGGTCTCCTGTCTGGAGCCATCCCAAACCCACCTGGATGTGTTGCTGTGTCACCTGCTCCAGGTGTCCCTGCCTTGGCAGGGGATGGGTCTGGGTGATGTCCAGAGCTCCTTCCAGCCCTGCTCTGCCTGCACATCCCACGGAGGGGAAGGAGAGGGGGCGGTGGGACAGTGCTGAGCTGCAGTGATGATGGGAGCACTGCCTGGGAAGCTGATCCTCGGGGAAAGTGGAGCATGGCTGGAATATATTGGGTGCTGTGTGACTTTGGTGTGCGTGTGGGTAACCTGAGCTCACCTGTCAGGAGTTCTGTTACCCAGATACTCCCTGACCTGGCTCTGGCTGCTGGGGAGGGATGCTTTCCACCAGGGTGGTTATGTAAAGCCTCAGTGCTCTGTGCTCTCCAACTTGCGCGGGGCTCCGGGGGCAACTTCAAAGGAGGGCGTTTGCTTTATGGCTGAACCTATGAGCAGTTTTATGTGCAGGGTGGAGCGGGCTCGTGGAGAAGATTGCAGTTTTCCCAGTGCCATAAAAAGTTACGATGCTGACGGTGCCGGCATTGTTCCGTAGGCGGAGGCAGAGCAGATGCAGAGGTCAGCGGGCTCGGCTGTGCCAGCGCGCTCAATGCCCTGCTCTGTGCTCCCAGCTCTCCCAAACGCCTTCAAAAAGTGCCTTGTGCTCTTTGTGGGGCTGCCTCACAGAGCTGCACCTGTGCAGAGCGGGCACAGCATTTCCATGGGAAAGAAAGGAACTTGGCAGGGCTGCTTTCCAGGGCAGTGTTTCAGCCCCTCTGGAAACGTGGCGTTCCAGTGGCACACACTGTGAGTCAGTTCACAACCTCCTTCCTTTCTCTGCACTCTTCTTTGGGGCTCGAGCCAAGGGAGTTAAGAAAATAACCAAGTGGCTGCATCTCGAGGAGCCTCGTTCCAATTAACGTCCCTCATGCTCCAGGAGATAGATTCCCCAAACTGAGATACATTCCCAAAAAAAGGACTATTCAGGCTAAGTGGTGATGGTGGGAGAGTACGATGAGCTTCTACAGCCTTAATTGTGGCCTTTTCTGAAAGTATTTCAGTGGCCTGTGCTGTCTTTAAACCCTGGTGGGGTATGGATTCTCCCAGCTGTGGAGGCAGCACCCCAAATTCTGAGGTGTAAAGCACCTTCCAGTTCTCAGTGAGTTACAGCTGATTAAAATTAATCACTATTCCAGTTTCAGTCAGATCTCTCTAAATATAAACTTAACCTCTCATTGAAACCATTTTCTGCTGGGATGGGGAGGCATAAATGTGCTCTTTGTTTGCAGCCAGGAAAATGAAAGGTTCACAACATTCAGAAATGTGTGTTTTAGGTCTTCTGAAAACCTGTTCCTTAAAGAATGTTTCTGCTTGGAAATGGGCAAATACTTTGGGTATTCTTCAGCTTGGAGAATTTTATTCCAATGAACATACTAAAACTTAGGGGGAGCAAAAAAAGACTCTGGTCCTTCTCTTTGGGTGATCCATTAGCTGCTCCAGCTGCCTTTTATTTATTTTTGTAGACACATGTGTGAATGTAAACATTTTATCTGGAATGGCCTTGCAAATGTTCCTGCATTAACATATATTGTCATGGAGAATAATTTTCATTTAACTGTAATTTGCTTTATATTTTCCTGCCTGGTTGCCATGGAAACGCAGACGGATGTGGCAGGGACTCCTCACAGGAGCCAGGTTATGGATTGCCTCTCTAATGGACCTCTGTTAATCACACTGCAGCCTGCGCTGGAGGAACCAGGGCTCTTTGCAGGAGACACTTTATTTAGATAAACTGTGAGATGCCTGTGGTACTGTAGCTTAATATTCAGAGTTACCCAGGGTGTTTTTCCCTTCTCCAGAAGTTTTTTGTCATAAGAACTATGTATTATGATCCTGGAATTGAGATATATTTATTTAAATTTAATGTCGGTTAGACTTGATTTTCAATTTTCATTTCATTTGCTGTAATAGCTTAACTGGTAATGTTCTTTTCTGGGTTCAGTTTGAGATCTGAAACGCTTGAAACAGAGCAGTGCAACATTTGTTATCCCTCTCCCTGTGCAAGAAGTTGACTTGCTTTTCATAATAACGTGTCTGTGTTTTTGTGTTTCCTTTCGGCTGGCAGCAGGGAGAAGGGGGACAGAGATGGATGTTATTACATTTGTTACCTGTGGATTTTGGGGGTCTGTTTTGCACCTCTTGTTGTTGGCTGCTGTTCTGAGCTGGGCCCACACAGGGAAGGGAAGGGAAGGGATGTGGGGCAGGGGCTGAGGAGCTCAAGGGGCTCAGCCTGGACAGGAAGAGGCTGGGGGGACCCTCTGGCTCGGGAGGTGTTAAAAACCACATAGATGTGACCCATGGTTTAGTGGTGGTGCTGGCCCTGCTGGCCTTGGTGATCTCAGAGGCTTTTCCAAACTGACCTGCTCTGTGATCTCCAGGATTATCAGTGCCCAGATTCCTGGTCTGGGATGCTGATCTCTGCCTTTGCTGGATCCTTGGAAGGAGCTGCCTCTCACTCCTGAGATAACAATGGTGGTGGCATGGGTTCAAACTGAGCTCACCAATATCAACAAATGACTCATTTTTGGTTAATGGGGATGAGCTCCAGGATGGAAAATCAACCACCCAGCATTCTTTGCTCTGGGTACTCTGATGGCAGAAACCTCAAATTGTAACTTAGGGACATGAATTTCATTTGTCCCCTGAATCAGACCCTCCAAGTGAATTTTGGGGTGAGTTTTAAGGGAAGCTGCCTTGGTCCTTCCCTGGCTGTGGTCAGACACCATGGCTTACATAAAGCTGGGTTCCTCCAGCACGTGGATGCTTCCCCATGCAGATGGACTCACAGTTATTTCTTGGTGCTTTACAGGGGAATTGGGTAACGCTTTGTTCTGTAATGCAGGATGAAGAAACCCAGCATGTTTTTCTGTAATGGTGTATAAACAAGTAGTGTAACATCCTATTTCAGGCATTGGGAGGAGGAAGGGCTCGGGGGGAGGCAGGGCTGAAGCAAAGCTTTGTTTTCCTAGACCCACACACCAGATTTTAGTATCTGTGCCTTTGGTGGGTGCTGGGAGTGTTACAAACTGTTTTT